ATGGTTGCTTTTTTCGAAAGTCTTTTAAGAGAGGGTCGAGCGATAAAGGGTTAGTCTTGTCGAGGGTCCTTTGTCGGGAGTCACTGGGGTACGAGACCCTTTGAGGCTCTCAGCGAGCGAAAACGCAAACGTTAGGTTGGTCTGTTAGGAGGGCATATTGCGACACGCCAGGCGGAAGTGGCAGGATTTAAAGTGCCGCCCTCGACGTTAAGTGAGACGGGAAGGACCGCGGGACGTTCAGTCGCAGTCGGCCTGCGAACCGACAAGCGTTTGCTTAGGTAATCCAGAGCTGTTCAATCTATTACTTTTATTGGGTAGTGGAGGAAGAATAGTATGGTTAATCGAACGTATATTGCGCACAGGTTACTAAATTTTATTATTTTATTCGAAACGGCTTTTGGCGAACGATCCCATGAACTCGTTTGATTAGCGAAAGGATGGTCCTGTTTATTTTTTCCGTCGGCTATTCAATTACTCGTGTTCGCGTTGACCGCATTCACCGCAGTCCGTCGTTGACGCTGACGCTGCGCCGTGACGCTAGCGGTTCTAGCTGGAGGGTTCTATCTGGAACAGCCTTTCCAGCCTGTTATCTCCTCGAACGTTCTCGCAAATAATCGACGTGCGTCGCCGCCGGACGGCAATTTGCAATTGAGATGGATCATGATGTTCAATCTTTAAAATGACGATCGGTCAAATAGCCGAGTCAAGTGAGCCTGGTGCAGCAGCCCCTAGGAGTCGCGTATCACGATCTGCTCGCACACGAGAAACTAACTTCCGGGAACTCCTTCAGTCGCGAACTCCAATCGTCTCCGGATTGCGCGAGGAGCCCGTGTCAACGTCGTCACGTGACTCGTCAGTCTCCCGAGGTCCCTGACCAACGCGAGTTTCATTAAGACTCAACGCTGCGATGCGAGGAAGCCTCGTAGCGACCTTATTTCGCCTGACCTCATTTGCCGACTGAGTTACTTCACTTTAGAGCTTTTTTTTTCCTGCAGCACGATGAATATTTGACATCACTCAACCCGGCACAGATTCTCTCTCTCTCTCTCTCTCTCTCTCTCTCTCTCAGTCTCCCGGCAGTCGCGGGAAGTCCCAAGTATAGGATGCGAGTGCAGCAGCGAATAGCCGGATATCTATCGCTCGGTAGGGCTATATACGCGCAGTGCACTTTGACCCTGCAGTGGGAATCAGTTGAGATGCATTTTGATTGGTTCGCAGTGGTGCATCAGTATTACCAGTCCGAAGTGAACAACGAGTACGTTATACGGGGGAACGCGGCCATTCTTAAGTGTAGCATCCCGAGTTTCGTGGCCGAATTCGTGCAGGTTGTGGGCTGGCAGGACGACCAAGGAAATTCATTCGATCCGAATGAAAAGGAGGGTAGAGCATTAAGGATCTTTTAAGTATTATAGGAAATAAGGGATCCTCGCATCTTCGAGAGTAACGAGCAGCGGCAGCGACGACACGTTTTCTTTGATGGCTCTTTTAATCTTTCTCATTTTTTTTCTTTTTCTAATTCTGCGATTCAGTCGTCACACAGTATTACGAGGCGGAAGTGGTGTCCGAGTACGTGATTCGCGGAAACGCCGCTATCGTCAAGTGCACCATTCCCAGTTTCGTTGCTGAATTCGTTTCGGTCGACTCCTGGGAAGGGAGCGACGGTTCCTCCTACAGAGCGTCCAGCGACTATGGTATTACCAATTGTAAACACACTGTAGCTATATTGGGTGCGGAGCACGCGGCGCGAGCAGCGAGCAGCGAGCAGCGAGCAGCAGCAGCACGACTGGCCGATTTTGCACGGGGCAAAGGGGAACCACCGACTTACGCGGCCATCTTCATTTTCTAGTGGTCACTCAACCCTACAATCCTGAAATATTGACGGAGTACGCGATCCGAGGGAACAGCGCCATTTTGAAGTGTAGCATACCGAGTTATATCGCGGAATTCGTAACCGTGGAAGCTTGGATCCGCGAGGACGGAGAGACGTACGTTCCTGGACCGATAACCGATCAGGGTATTATTATGTCATTGGTCGATTTCCCATTTGTCAATCACTCACGCTCCCGATCGACGATCGACCACGAGCAGCCAGCTGGCTATTGTTATTATCATGATATACAGTGATATCCGGACGACGGGACAAAGTCGGACCGACTGGTGGCCTGTCAAAGGAGTCCTGCTTGCCAGTTCAGTCGAATGGCTCTGTATATCTGACAATGAGTTAGAGATCGGAATAAATGAGGGACATAGTTCATTAATTATTTTCTCTTGACTTTATGGCGCGAGCAGTCGTCTTGCAGTTCTACGTCACCGAGGCTGAAAACGAGTACGTGATCCGCGGGAATAGCGCCATTATGAAATGCAAAATCCCAAGTTTCGTGTCGGAGTTTGTCTACGTCGATCAATGGGTAGCAGACGACGGGACGATTTACGTGGCTGGCAGAGAATACGGTACAGGCGATACGAGCCGAATTACCTGGATTATGGCATGATGGGCGGTGCAGTTACGTGAGGATAGAATTACGCTCCTGGAGGTCACTCTGGAAAGGCGTCCAGTCGGTCTGAGACGCTAAGGGAAGGTCGAGTGGTTTTTACTTGCGTCTTGGGGATAGTGCTGACGTCTTTGGACTTTTTATAAATCGATTTGCCGCGCTCCTTTAAACAGAGACCCTAGCGGGTAATTCTATCGACACTTTCCGTCCAGCTACCAGGATCCTTCTTATATCGATAAGCGACAGATTAGCCGATAAGGAAAATCAAGGAAAAGAGAGACGAGACTTATCTCGATCATTGTAAAATCTTCTCTCTCTCTCTCTCTCTCTCTCTCTCTCTCTCTCTCTCTCTCTTTCCTTGACAACCGGGAATCGCGCGTTGCAGTGGTACAGCAGTTCTACGAAGCAAGAGTCATTGACGAGTTTGTCCTAAGAGGCAACACTGCCATCCTGAAGTGTCTCCTGCCCAGCTTCGTGGCTGATTTCGTGGAGGTGGTCGAGTGGCGAGCGGACGACGGTTCTTCCTTCACGATCGAGAGTCACGAGGAGAAGGGTACAGAGAGAGAAGTGGAGCGGCATTTTGTTTTTGTCTTTTGAAAAAGCGAGGAGGGTACGGGGCAGACGGGGCAGACGGGGCAGTCGCTGTGAACGAATCGACGAATATTCAAATTCTCCGAACGAATTCGTTCGGCCAAGTGCAGCTATAAATAATTTCCAGTTGTGTCGCAGTACTTCGAGGCGCAGGTTTACGATGTCTTTGCGATTCGCGGTAACGCCGCCATATTCAAGTGTCAAGTACCGTCGTTCGTGGGGGATCACGTGGACGTGGCTGGTTGGATCGATTCCAATGGCGGCAGCTACCTTGCCGACGAGGAGTCCTACGGTACATGGAAACTTCAAAAGAATTCCCAGGGCTCCCTGGGAACTCTTTCTCTTGCTCGATTGGGAATCTCTTGGCCCCCGCGGCCCCCGCGGCCCCCTCGTGCCTCATTCATGCCTGTCGATTGTCAATTCATGACTGTCAATTCGGGAACCGTGTCTGGTTGCAGTTGTCGGGCAGCGGTACGCAGTGAATGTCATGGACGAGCATGTCCTGCGAGGAAACGCGGCCATTATCAAGTGTCACATTCCGAGCTTTGTCGCTGAATTCGTCCAAGTCGACTCTTGGCTAGAGGACGATGCCACTGAGATATATCCGAGTCCTGATTACGGTACATGACCTCTCTACCTATTCTACTGTGTCTTATCGAGAGTCCGAATCTTCTCTTTAGTTCCGTGTGTGGG